GCGGGGCGGACAGGGCTCTTCTTGCCCCCAGAACTGCCCCTGCCCCTGCCCCTGCCCCTGCCCCAGCCCCAGGTAGTGTCGGCCCCGCGAAGCCCGCAGGCAGCGCCCAGGGCAGGAGGGTCCAGGCTCCCCCGGCGATGCCCTCGCTGCCTCTCTCCATCCCAGGGGCTGCAGCAGCTGTGGGGGAGTCCCGGCTCGGAGCCCCCTGCGTGGGGCTGGCACCGGGCGGGACCCGTTTCCCCCTTGCACACCCGAGATCTCCGGCGGCCGTGCCCCACTGGCAGCAGGACGGGGGGCAATTGCCCTGCAAGCGTCCGGGGCTGTGCTGTGCTGTGCTGTGCTGGGCGGGCGAAGGGGCAGGACCGAGCATCTGTTTTGTCCTCCAGGATGTCCAAGCCCAAGGAGCTGGCGGAAACCACCAGTTCGGGAAGCGACTCCGAGCTGGAGAAGGAGAAGGAGAAGGTGCTGGAGGGGCGAGGGGCGCCAGGCAGTCCCTCCGGCCGGGGGAGAAAAGGCTGAGAGGCCTCGCAGAGCGGGTGTGCGTGGGCAGATCTGCTCCCACGCTCCTGCTCGGCGGCTGCCCTGGTGATGTGTTGGGGGACAGGGGTGTGTGTGCGGCGCCGTGGGCAGGGAGCCTGGGCGGCGACAAGGCGTCCCAGCCACGGCAAACCTCTCTCCCCGGGCGCCGGAGCAAGCCGTGAGGCTGCAAGGTGTGGTGGGATCTGGTGCATTGAGGTGATGCAGGAGTTGCCTGGTGTTCCCGGGAAAATCTCAGCAGATCAGGGCAACCCAAGTCCCACTTCCGAGCTGGAGAAAGGGGCTGTGCCCCGATGCCTCCACCCAAGGGGGGCAGAGCGGGGGCTTGCTCGGACCCCTTTTAATTCTTGCATTTGCTCATCGAGCTTTGCAGGCTGTTAGGGGGGCAGCTCTGATGGGGGCTGTCTAGCTTGAAGAGCCCACCTGGGTAGCCTGGATGCTGCTGTGGCCTTTGCTGTCAGAGTAGCCCCTTATGCCAACTTCCTTTTGCCTCCCTGGTTTGTCTTTGCTGTTGTGGTGGCCCCCGGGGGTTATTTTTGGCTCCCGCCTGTCACGTGTTCAAATGCTGGGAGACTCTAGAAACCCTGTGAGATGAAGAGCCAGGGCTTATCAAAGGTAGCTTTTCAATAGCCTCTCCTTGCAGAAAAGGAAAAAAGAGATGCCCTCCAAGCCGGAGAAAAAGCCCAAAACAGAAGCCAACAGCTCCAAGGTGGCGACAAAAAGCCACGGGCAAGACAGCGAGGAAGAGGGCATGTTCCAGGTGAATTCCCCTCTGCAGTCTCCTGCCGAACTCCCTGCGCGCGCAGCCTCGCTGCTGTATCTGACCTGCCTGTGGTTAAATGTGATTGGGGTTGATCCAGAGGTTTACAGTCCTAGCCAAGTGGGGCTAGCAGGATGAAACCCTCCCAGCCAACTCTGTCTAACCTGCAGTTGAAAGGGGAAAAAAAACCCAACTTCCTAGGATGGAGACTACAGCCTCCCTAGGAAATGTAGTCCAGTGTTTAACTGCTGGACTCCTAGTTAGAAAGCTAGTTGACCACTACCAACTCCTAGTTAGAAAGTTCTTCCTAACACCCGGTTTAAACTGCCCTTGACCACCCACATTGCTGGGGTCATCTGACCCCAGCGGTCTTTGCTGCCCAAGCGATGATCTGTAGGTCCCTTCCAGCCCCTAATGTCTCTGAAACTATAAAACTTCCCTTGTTACAGTTTAAGCTTGTTGCTCCTTTTCTCCATCCCCTGCAGCCAGAGGAAAAAACCCATCGCCCTTCTCTTTAAAACCACCCTCCAGGCATTTAAAGGCTGGCATCAGATTCCTCCCCCAGCCCACAAACTCTGTTGCTTTGTCCTGAACAGGCTGGGCACCGTGGGCCATAGCAACCCCCACCGTGCACGTGAAGCAGCCGGGGACCTGCCTAGTCAGGAAGCGTGGATCTCAGTTACCCGCTGGTTAATCTCTTTGCAGATTGGGAAGATGCGCTACGTCCGAGTGTCCTGCTTCAAGGGGAAGGTCCTGGTGGATATCCGGGAGTTTTACATCGATAAGGAAGGAGACACGAAACCCGGCAGGAAAGGTAATTGGGCGCTTCCACTAGGTGGCAATCGCATGCCGTCTCGCGTTTGCTTCCGTTTTAAAAGGGGGTGTTGATCAGTCTAAGGGTGCAGGCAGACGAGGGTCTTTGGGTGAATGTGATCTCTTCTGCCAAAGCTGAAAAATCCTGTCCTCTCTCTCTGCCTGGAGAAGGGTGCTTGTGCAAAGAAAAAAGCTTGCAAAGAACAATTATTTCCCCAGCTGTTTAGTTGGTCTAATAAAAGAGACCGCATCTACCCAAAGAACCCTGTCTGCAGATTTTTAAAAGGGGGACACCAGACTTGTGGGCAGGAGCTGGGAACTCGTCGTGCCGGTCTTATGCAATTGACTTCAGCCCTTCCACAAGGGAAACCCCAGAGATTTCACATTTGTTAAAAACTTTCTGACCCGAGTTCCCTGCAGCAGAAGAGCCACTCTGTTGAGGTCTCCGTAGTCAAGAAAGGAGTGAGAAGTAAGAGCTGAAACTTTGAGGGGCACCTGAGTCTAAGTGAGGTTGAAAACCACCGGCCTAGACGCAGTGCTTCCCAACCTCTACCAGATTGCACGCCCCCAATTGAAAACGAATGCCACCTTTTAAGTACTGCTGGCAAATTTTTGGCATATAAAGTCATTATAATAAATCTGTTAACACGGACCACTGGCGGGACCCCTGCCACAGATTGGGAACCACTGCAGCAGGGTGAGGGTGGGACACGGCTTGTGGCTGCCCCAGTGCTCTAGGGTACAGAAGTGCAGGATCCCAGAGCAGGGGTGCTCCGTCCTTAGGGGAGCAGGACCAGGGACTGCACGAGCCCTCCAGGCTGTAGCTCTGTGCTAGAGGCCCTGGATGTATATCCCTCAAGCATGTGGATAGTTTCCTAGTAAGGAACTGTGTGTTCTTTGCTGCAGTTTTTTGCTCTGACCTGGTGATTGGGTCTTACGTGCATTGTACGTAAAGTAAAGCAGGCGTGAAAGAGTTTAAAAGCACCCGGAGAGGCACCCACCAGGCCAGACCTCCCCTCCAGCTGCTGAGTCCATGCCGGTTCCAGGTTCTCTCCATCACAGCCTTCTGGCGGCAAGTCCATTGCTCGATTCCGAAGTCCCCAGGCCTCATCTAGTAGTCACTCCTCTCTCCTGCCCCGTGCAGTGTAGATTCAGCTACCAGGGAATTTCTCGGGACCCCTTTTGTTCTCCAAATTGATTTTGTGCCTGCGCGGATGCATTTCCTTCAGCGTGGCTTGACCCTCAAACCCTGAACACGCTTTCCCTTCCAGAAATGACCTGCCCTCAGGGAAGTTTCTCTTCTAAAGGGCTCCATTTTTAAAGGGATTGGCCTTTCCCAGAAGGAAGGCTTGCTAAAGAGAAGGGCGGGGGGGACTTTGGTCTCCTCCTAACTTCATAGGGAGGTCTCCCATGCAAGGTCTCTGCTAATAAGGTGAGAAACGCCATTGGTCTTGAACATTTCTAGCTGCCAGCATTTATCTAGAAAACTCTAGACCAAAGGGAGACGGTGTCATCTGCAAGCCTGAGCAATCACGGGGGTTGCGAGCAGTGGGAATGGGCAGTATCCAGCAAAAAGGATGCACGGGGACTGCCGGTACAGGCTCAGCAGGTGTGTCTTGCTGTCCCACTGTGTGATATCAGTGGTTCAATCCTCCTCCCCTTGAAAATGGGGGCTACTACCCCAACAGAAGCTTCAAAGCCGCCCCCTGGTAGCACGAGAGCAAGGCGGGAGTTTCCTGGGCGCTGCCTCTGTTTCTGCTTCAGGCTGCGGGTCAGATCCCGTTCCCCTCCCGTCACGCCGAGCTGCCTCGGGCTGTGGCCTTGGCTGACCCTCCTCTGCCCGGTGCTGCAGTCGCGGCTCTGCAATCCTTCTCCTTTTGACATTTTTCTAGGCATCTCTCTTTCGGCGGAGCAGTGGAACCAGCTGAAGGAGATCATTCCAGAGATCGACGCCGCCGTCAAGAAATTCTAGATGGAGCCTGCTTGGAAAGCCTGTCCTTTTGCTTGGTTTTTCCCCCTTGACGCATTTCCCTTCTTAATTCCCCTTCCCGCGTTTTGCTAATAAAGCCAGCCTTTTGGTCTGCAGCTTCCCACCCCTGGACAGAGCTTCATTGGCTTAGGTCGGGATGGTGCTTACAGGGCAAGGGTTGGCTTTAGATTTTGAAAGGCAGCATGAGACGCTGGCATCACCGCCTCTTCCCCAGGGCCTCGCAGCCTGGGCTTCATGGAGGAATCCGGCTAAATCATTCGGGCCTGACTGACCGCTCCAGCCTGGTGCTGCCTTCCGCTTGGTTGACTATTTAGCAAAGAAGTTCATCCAGGCACCCAACGCCCACCCTCCACCCCGCTTAGGCTCTGTGAGTCATGTGCATGGCACGCCGGCTATTTCCAGGAGGCTTCTTTTTTTGGTGTACTTGGGACTTCTTTTTTTTTTCACTGAAGGAGGGGATTATGGTCCCTCTGCAGGGCAGATGGTCTGGAGAGGATGAATATGCACAATAAATGGTTTGCATTACAAAGAAAAACCCATAGTCCCTCATGTCCCTGGCAACTTGGCTCCTTGTTCTGTTGTCTGGGTGCCACCGTTCTCTCCCAGAGGAAAGGGTGAGGGGTGGCTGGGGTAGATGCTTTGTATTTTAAATAGAGATGCAGTTTCTTTTTGCTATCCAGAATAGAGCGCGTACCACCAGCTCCAGAAGGGATCCTGCTTTGCAGGAGAAGCTGTAATTATTTAATAAGGCTAATTGCTAAGGAGGAGAATTGAGGAGCTAGGATGGGAGGTTCTTCCTCCTTGCCATGAAGAGGAAGAGCATGATAAAAGCACTGTGTGGAGCCTCTAGTGGGTGAGTAGCTGCTGGTTGACCCCAAGCTCCCCTAGGGAACCTGGGTCAACACGGGCAAAACCTCCCCGCACGATTCTTCCTCGTTTCTGGTATCCCAGTCCTTTAAAATACCCCCTCGCTCTGCTCCATTAGCGCCACTCCGCCCTTTGCTTGGAGTAATCCCAAGCATGTGTGAATGCAAGACTCCACGTACAACCTGTCCCCCAGCTTGAGCAGCTTTGGCTTGTGTTGAAATGTGGCTGGGTGGAAGGGGAAAGGAGACGAAAATAGGTGAAGCGAGTCCACAGGCAGAGAAGGGCTGACTGAGGTGGGTGAGGAACAGGAGAGGCCACAGCTGTAGTACTCCCTCGAGCCCGCTTGTGCTTGGGCCTCTGTGCAAAGGCAGGAAGATGCTTTTGTATTGGGTCCTGATTATGGCATGAGTGGGAATGCAGCTCTCCTGCCAAAATGGGCTGACAGCAACGCCCTTTGTCCTCCATACCTGCCCCAGCACGTGGC